AAGTCCCTCCCTCTACTTGGGTCTCAGAAGGGTTAAGCTCCTCCCAACCCTTCTCCTCTGTCTGAGCGGCCCCCCCACCCCATTCTTCCATTCATTTCTATTCTCCATTCTCCCTTGTGCCACGCTCATAGTTACAACCACTTACACTCGCTATTAAGATGCACGGAATAGCAATGGGTGGATTCCTTCTCTAATTGCAATATTCCCTAATTGCTGAATTTCAGAGCAACTGCATCAACCCAATTATGGGAAGCCCTGCCAAGGCTCTGCGTGACCTGCGGACTTCCTGTCCCACCCAGAGGCCTCAGGGGAGCCTCCCCGACTCTGACTGCTCAGCCCCTGCCTAGATTTGGCCCCAAATGATCCAGTGAGGGGGGGCTTGGCTTCCCAGCATCTTTGTAGAGGAAAAGGTGGGAGCGAGACAGGCTCACGGATTGAGGAAAATCTGGTCACGGCAGGCAGCTATCCTGGGTCTGGGCGGGACCCCCACCGCCCTCCCCAGCATTGCAAAGGCCTCTGGTTGCAGAGGCCCGAGCTGTGCTTTGGAGGCCTGGCCAGAAGGCGCTGATGCCCTGCCCACGGGGAGGGCAGAATGAGGGATGCGGTTATTTTGAGCTCCCGCTGGGTCCCCAGAGCCTTTTCAGAATAGGTGCTCATTCCACCAGAACAGGAAGTGTAAGGAAAGTAAGAAATCAGGAGGGAGCCCTGGCTCAGGGGTGCTGGGGTCCAGTCGCCACGGGCTCTGGGCTGTGTGTCCCATGGGGATCTCAGCTTCTCTGGACTCGCAAGGAGGGGAACAACCTGCCACCCTTGGACCCTGAAGAGGATCCCCTCTCTCTCTGATCCTGTGGTCCCCAACATTCATACACACTTGTGGGGGACACCCCTGGGGTGGCCGCTGCTCTCAGGCTGTAGAGGAAGCCTGTAATTACCAAGGTGGGAACTGGCAGCAGCTGCATCCCACTCAAGGAAAGCTGCTCAGGGCACCATCGGCCTTCGGGGAGCCTGGCCACTCACTCTGGTCCCCCACAAGCCCCTCCCTACCCCTTTAGAGCAGGTCCCCCTTCTGCCCCCCAACACCCCCCTTCCTCCACGGCAAGTCCCAAGGAAACCCAACACCAAGGAGGGAGAGCTGATTGAATTTCCCCAAGGAATCATGCCTAATTCTGTCAAGTCTGAGGCCTGGTTTCAATCACCAGGCCTGCTGTTCACCCTCAGAGCATGAATGACCTCACCCTAAGGACCCCTGAGCCAGCAGCTCCACATTGCAGGGAGCAGACAAGGCGGGCGGGAGGGAGCCAATGAGTAAGGAGAAGTTCTGAGTAACCAGCTACTGTGATCCAGAAGCTTCCAAAGTGCCTGCTGTCTGTGTGGGACCTCACTCTTGCTCCTTAGCAGGGTGAAATTTTGAACAAATGACAGAACTTCCCTGGGCCTTCTCGTCTCACATAATGGGAACAGAGATGGATGCTTGAGCCATGCTGCCTCGCTGAGATCTGCAGAGGTGAGAGATGTCAAGGCTTTGTCCTCCGTGGGGGTGGGGGGCTGTGGTGTCAGGGAGGGAGTGGCCAGTCTGTGCTACTGAGGGGAAGGGCTTTGAGGGAAACCCTTGGGGGTGGGGGGAGCCCTGGCCTGCACCTGCACTCTCCAGCCATGCACTCAACCTCTCTAGACACGAATTTTTGTCCACTGTACAGATGAGAAGACTGACAATCAGTCTCAGTAACTTGCCTGGAGTCAGAGTGACAGACAGAGCCTCGAGGATCTGGCTGTAGTCGCTATACTCCCTCTTAAAAAAGGCCTATGATTTAACATTTTTCAGAGAAACTACCATTCACACAGGCGCCTTGTCCCTGTGAGAACCCAGGACAGAATTCCAGCTTCCCTGATGCATAACCAGCGTGTGGCCTGTGTAAGGACCATTCACGCTGGGAATTTAGAGCCATGTCCTTCCCGTGGGCCATCCAGTTAGCATTTATTGTGCATTCACTGCCCCAGGGGGTCAAGGTTGTTACCACCATTTAATAGCTGAAACACTTCAGGTCACCCCATTATATGCTCTCACAGCACCCTAAGGTGGCCTTTCTAACACTTGTCACTGTTGTGATGAATTATGTATGATTATTTGTTTAATTCTGTGTTCTTCATTACCTTATAAGTTCCATTTTGTGCCAACTGCATCTCTGTCACCTCACACAGCTCCTGACACAAAGCAGACTCAAAACTAATGGTTGAGTGAATGTAGAAACCTCGGCTCAGAGAGGCTGAGGAACAGACCGGGGCCCACTGTGCAAAATCCACAACGGCAGAGGGTTTCTGTCTATTGTCCGCACTGCTGTGTTCGATGTGACTAGAACGGTGCCTGGCACAGAGCAGAGGTTCGTCCACAAAGACGCGCTATGAATGAAGTCACACACTTGGTTAATGTTTCGAACCCAGGCCTGTCAGGCTGCTGGCCTCATTCTGGTTTGCTTCCTACAGGAGTAAAGGCTCTCTGCTGTTGCCTCTGCCTCACCATTCCATTAGAACCCCCACCACACTGGGCCTTCTGTGCTGCCTGGCTCAAGAAAACAATCCAGCTTCAGCTAGAACCCGGATCTGGGAATTCTACTCCTCCACAGCCTTCCACTATGCAGGCGGACACTACTGTCCACCAGGAGGTGATGGGCATCCGTGCAGCCTTCTCCCCTCCCCCTGTCCCCCTCCCCATTTTCTCACACTTGGCTCTCAGCCCAGGCCTGCCCAGTAGGTAGGTAGGTAACTCTCCCCAAAGGGCACACCTTGCGGAACAGAGGAGACCTGGGCAAAGTCCAGGTAGACGGAGAAGGGGCCGTTCAAGGTAGGTTTGCCTAGAGCTGGGGAATACTGGGCTTGGGAGGCAGGGGGCTTCTCCGGTGAGGCCCAGAGCGCACCCACATCCAGGGCTCTGCAGTCACTCAGACACCCCATCGCACACACCAAGAAGCTACCTGAGAGGAGAGGGCGAATGAGTGAGGACAGGAGAGCCCAGACCCAGCTCTAGAAAGGGTCTCCCTGCCCCTGCCAGGTCTTCAAATGGGAATTTGCATTGCCCAGGAATAAAGCGGTACCAATTTTGAGATGACACTAACTGCTGGTAAGCTCTTCTGTGGGAAAAGGATACCGTTTGCAAACACTAACACTTTCCTCTTCCTGGGTGTTATTCTGTGGGCATCAAGGCCGGAAAAGAAAAAGAACAGCGTTTCTGTAATTCCACCTTGTCCCCTGGGAAAAGCTCCTGGACTGCTAAGCACAGCTGGCTCACCAGACTGACCGGTCTCCTCCTCCAGGGGATGGTGGGGTTCGGTCTGGATCTCTGTCTCCCCTCCCTCAGCTTTCCAGAAGCTTCCCAGCTCCTCCCTGAGCAAGGCAGGGAAAAGAGGGAGCAAGGATGGAGCCTAAGAGATCCCCAGAAAGAGCTGGGCCCCAGGGGCATCTAGAGGATGAAGCCAGGGGTCTGGGAGCCAAGCAGGGCAAAAGCAGATGACACAGACCAAGAATCCGGCTGGTGCTGTCTGTCATTCCGCAGTGTTGGGAAAAGTGGGGGCCAGAGTCCAGGCAGGCGGTGTGGCTGGTGTGGACCCCTGACACTGACTCAGCCCCGGGCCCTGACACGCTGCAGCGTACAGTCTGCCAGGCCCCAGGCCGCCAGGCACGTCCCACTGCATCAGCGTGGCTTCCCCTCCTGCTGGCCCTCCGCAGCCTCAGGGGCACTGGGCAAGACTCTTCCTTCAGCTCTTCCCATGGTCACAGACATTCCTAGCAGCCAGAAGACTGAGCTTGGACCTAAGTAGAGGAGACCCCTGGAAGGGTTCAGGGCTGCCCAGCTCCTCACCATGTTACCCTCTGGTGAAGTAAACAGTTTCTCAGGGCCCCTGGGCGAGGTTGCTGGACATCACACTAGGAAGATGGCCCCTGGGGGCAGCAGCAGGTAGGAGGGGCACTACACTCTCACAGCAGAAACACTCCTCAACAGGGAGTGGGGAGAGGATGCAACTGAGGGAGGGAGGGGCTCCACCCCCAAAAAAGGGGCTTCCTGGGAGCACCTGTGGAATTTAGTAACAAAAAGGGGGAGGCCTAGGAAGGGTCACCTGGGTTCATGGGGTAGGAGGATCCATTAAGTATCTTTTTAGTCAAAAAAATGAAACCCTGTGTCCTGAGAAAAGCAGCGGAAATAGAGCAAGGGGGTTCCTGTGGGGAAGGTAGAGGAGTCGGAAGGAAATGCGGGTGGGTGACCGCACTTCCCTGCTCCGGGAGCCCAGGGCCAGGGAGGAAGGCTGAGCCGGACTGGACAGCCTAGGTCGTGCTGAGTCATGAGATTTGGAGAAGGCGAGGGCCACCTCGCCGGGTCATGTGGCTGGCCCAATTCCAATAGACCCTCACTGCCGGCTGTCCCCCGCATCCGTCTCACCAACCTCTCTCTGATCCAGTCTCTTGCCTCTTGAAGCTCATGGCCCTTCCCTTCGGCACCCCCCTTCTCCCCACCTCGACGGGCGATGCCAGGGGTGCCCGGAGCTAGAGGCCGGGGCCAAAGGACCTTCGTTGGAACCCACCGAGGCAGGGGGCAGGCTGGAGACATACGAGTAGTGGGGCGTCGGAGCGACGGGAGGAACCGCAGGGGTGCAGAGACTGAGCGACCCGGGACGTCCGTCCGCCCCCACGCTCTGCAGGCATCCCCTGCAGACCCAGGGTGGGAATCTGCTCCCTCATCTCGCCCCAAACCCTCAGAGGAGCATACACCTCACCCCTCAGGTCCTGTTCCCCAAAACGAACCTTCTATCTAATGCGTCCAAACTCCCCCGCAAAGGACGGTGCGGGCGCCCGGCAACCTTGGCCTCAAACTTCCCGGACCCCACCCACCTGCCCGCGGGCCAAGTCCCCACCCACGGCCCCTCAGCTCTGCAGCAGAAAACCCGCCCCCGGAGGAGAAACTTTGGAGCGAGAGAGGTCGGTGCCCAGCCGGGGCGGGGGGACAGACTTACCGGGGAGCGACCCAGAGCAGGCAGGAGAGATCCCGGGTCCCCGAGGTGAGGGGGCGAGGGGCTGCTAGGACGCAGTGCGGGCGACGTCTTGGCAGGGGCGTGCGCCTCCCGGGGCCCCGAGTCCCCGTTCCGCCCCGGCCCCAACTCGGCTCCGAAGTGCCTTTGCCGCAAGACTTGCTGAGCTTAGCAGTCTGCACCGAGGCGGCGGAGGGAGGAGGCTGATCAATGGGCGAGCGCCGAGCGCTGCAGTGAGGGGAGGAGACCAGCGCGGCGCGGGAGGGCGGGGACCAGGGAGCAGAAGTGGGGGCGGGAGGAGGAGGGGGCGGACCTGCCCTGCGGGGACCGGTGCGGGCTGCGCAGCCCCCAGGCCTGTGGGCGCCCTCTCCCGCACCTAGCCCCCACCTCCCGCTCAAGGTCGCGGCTGCCACTCGCTGGTCGGAGACCAGGGCCCCCACCCAAGATGGGCCAGTCTCTCTAGAGCCCTCTGCTCCCCGGCCTCGCGAATCCACTGCAGCTTAACGCTACATTACTGGGCTCCAGAGCCCCCCTTTCCACCTGGGATCTCTCTCCCTCCTCCTAGTAAGGCGACTTCCAGCGATAGTTTTCACTCCAGGGTGATTGATTCTGAGCCTCAGAGGTTGGTGAGGAAAAGGAGGATCCTTGGGAGAAGTTGGCTTCCCAAAGGTGACTAAGGCTTAGGAGCCCTTTGGGGGGGGAGGGGTTGTGGGGGGGGGGTGTCCCCGCAAGGGAACAGGGAGGTTTCCAGGAAGGTGGGTTAGGAGGGGGAGGATCCCGGAAGGCGGTGGAGAGGAAAAGCTGTGTGAACCGAGAGGGGTTTCACAGATATGAGGTTGCTTAAGGCTCAAGGCGCCCTTCAGGGTGGGTTCACTGGCAGCTTGCAGATCAGGACACAGTGCCCAAAGGCACTTTGACCAAGAAGTCACACAGTAGCTGGGGGCCCAGGAGGAGCCTGGTGAGAGAGGACCCATCCTGAGCCCTTTCTAGCCTTACTGCACCCAGGGCAGGAGGAGTGGGCACAGACAGAGGGCACAGTGTCAGAAATGTACGCAGCAGGGTTGAAATAGCCGCTTTAACTCTGGAGTCTGGACGCCACCTTCCCTGGGGGGAGCTCAGCACCTGCCTCTCCCGGGATGCTGGGCATGGGGGCTGGGTGAGGGTGCTGGGCGAGGGTGCTGGGCATGGGGGCTGGGCAAGGGTGCTGGATGAGGACCCTGCCTGACCTCCAACCCAGCACACAGTAGCTGAGTGAAAGCATGAGAATGAATGGATCCAAGAGAGCGCAGAGAGAGGGGTTTCAGGGTTGGGGTGTGCCATCAAGAGTGGAGGAGGCTTTTTGAGATCACTTTGCCAATAACAACAGGAGGAGCCTGGAAAACAGCCCGACCATCAGAAGTGGGGCAGTGACTGTCATCTTAGTGGCTGTCACGAAAACAGTGATAGGAAACCTTTGGGGTGTCCTGAGTGAGACTTGAGGGATGCCCACACCCCCAGGGGATGGCCAAAGCAAGGGGCAGCAGAAGCTGGGACAGCCAAGCCGATGAGGGATGAAACTAGACTGACGTCATCTTCACCAGCCGGCAGCAGACTCAGCCCACCCTGAGCTGCTGGGGCCCAGGACTTTGCTTCACCAAAAAGGCCCCATTCGGTTTGTTCTGCCCCCCCCCACCCCTGCAGCCACAGGCCAGTGGGAGGGTTGTGGCCAGTTCTTCACAGCCCTAGCAACTGCTTCCCCAACTCCTCCATGCTTGCGTGGAACCTGCGGGCAGAGGAAGCCAGAGCCTGCCTTCCCAGACCACTGAGCGTCGATGTTGCAATCAATTTGGTTCAATGAAAAATGTGGTGTCCCTAGCTACGGCCTTAATGTTCTCTTAATTCATCAGCACCAGTTGTGCCTGGGTTATAAAGCTAATCAAGAGCTCAGCATCCCTCGTGCTTATCACCCCCACTCCCCAGGCTTCAGGACTGGGAAAAGAGAAATGAAAGGACATCTGCCCCCCCCACACACACACCCAGCCAATTAGTAGAGACTTCACAAGTGTTTGTCATTTTTAAAAAGATTTATTTATCTATGCATACAAGAACTGGGGTGCAGGCCAGAGGTACGGGGGGGGGGGTGAGAGGATTCACCAGAGACAGTGGGGAGCAGAACAGGCTGAATGATGAAGTACACTGCTGAGGGGAGCAGCGGGCAGGTCCGGAGAGGTCTGCTGTGCCATGTGGGTCAGCTCCCTGTTTGGGATAAGACTCAGGCCTTAGGGGTGACAGTGCTGAGACTTAACCCCTGGTGCCACCAGGGAGGGCCCCAGTCACTGTTTGTTTGTTTGTTTTTTTAAGATTTATTTATTTGTACATACAGAACTGGGGTACAGAACTGGGGTACAGGCCAGAGGCTCAGGGGCGGCGAGAGGCTTCACCAGAGACAGAGTGGGGAGCAGAACAGGCTGATAGACGAAGTACACTGCCTAGGGGAGCAGCAGGCCTGTCAGGAGAGGTCTGCCGCACCATGTGGTCACCTCTGGGGCAGGCGGGGATCGAACTCATGCGAAGTGGCTTTAGCTTCTCAGTGCAGTGCTTTAACCTGCTGCGCCACAAGGGAGGGCCGAGTCACTGTTTTTAAAACTTTACATGGAAGTCCAGTTACCAGTGGTCTTAGTTGTCTTCTAATCTGCTTTTGTAGATATACCAAACTCAATTATATTTTGAATTTTATTTAAATTATTTCATACTAGAATCCACTGAGCCCTGATATACCATAAAATATTTTTAATAGCAAAGACATTAACTCATCAAATGGGGACAATAAAACAAATATGGATAAAGTTAAATATCATACAACCCATTAATATCATAGGTTTTAATTAAACATTTTTCAAAACCAGGTCTCCAAACAGCCAGTGAAGACCAACTCGTCCAGAAAGCTGATTAAGTGGGCTCTATTTATTCTCCCTGCAATGAACAAGACAATATAAATAATAAATAAAAAGGAACTGAAATAAAACCCCTAACTATGACTGAATGGAGAGGGTGGAAGAGGACAACGTCTCTGTAACTTACACTCCCGGGAGAACATTCTCAAGTCTTCAGGACCATATCTGGCATCTGGACAATATCCATTAAGTTGCAACTAATCATCTCAGAATTTTACCAAAGCCTAGAATTACTATCACCGGGACTTCATCTTACATTCTTCTCTCTCCCTCGCTAGGAGGAAAGGTGAGTTTTCCTTCTCAAATTCAAAGGGAACAATAATTTTAAACACAAAAGCCGACGGGTCTTTCCTGAAGACGCAGAAGGACTGGCAGTCTCTGCCCCAGGTCGTCAGGCTGAGCCATGGGTGCTCCGGCGAGGGGCCGGCACGTGGGGCCCCTCTGCCCACTGTCGGAACCCTTCCCCCCCCCCCTTCCCCGTTGGTGAATCCAACGATGAGGACCTGTAAGTCTCTGCCTTCTGGACCATAAAGAAAAAGTGGCTCAAAACTGGAAATCATACAAGAGTGCAATGTCTTTTTTTGTTTTTTTCCCCCAAGAGGGGAACTGAACCTTAAAACTACCCACCATTGCAGGGATAAAAAACAAAACCAGATGCAACACCTTCTGAATGATACACCCCACCCTGGCCCTTTAATGTTCACGTCCCTTAAGGCCCGCCATAAATTGAGGCTGTATCTCAGAGCTGCCCTTGGGGTGTGCCCCAGCTGTGGGCATGAGAGCCAGAGCCAGAGCACAGGGCGCTGGGGGGAGAAACTTTAAACCCACCCCTCATTTGGTTTTCCCAGGGCCACTGCCTGTGCCCTTTTCTGGGCCTCAGGTGAGAATCTGGAGCAAAATCTCTTAAACTTCAGACTCACCTATGTACCTATCATCTCTCCAGTCAAAAAACAATCCCACTGCCTCACGCACTGGAGGCCGGGGCCCGCCGGGGGGGTGCACCTAACCTCGCCTTGTGGCACAGAGGCCAGGAGAGGGCAGACAGCGAGACCACCAGTCACGGCAGGGAGTGACCGCTGCGCCCCAAGAGCATCAGGTGCCAGGAACCTGGGAGCCCCGCTCACTCTGCCTGGGGGGCCGGCCTCCCGCCTGCAGAGAAAGGAGGCGCTCTCCAGGCAGGCACCAGACAGACATGCGGCAGACACCAGGCCAGACAGACACCACAGAGGCCAGCAGTGCACTCACTGACATCGTGAGGGCAGGGCCAGAAAGCTGTGTGACCTTGGGCGTGTTTCCCAGCCTCCCTAAGGCCTCAACTTCTGTGTGTGGGAGACTTCACCACCTGCCCCGGGCACTGGCACTAGGTGTCCAGGCCGGCTCAGTGCTCACAGGCATCCCATGATGCAGGCGAGGTAGCCACTATAGAGAGGCGTGACCAGAGCCCGAGGGCCCCGGTGCAGAGCGGTGTGGAGTGGCGAGGCCTCCGAGGGAAGGCCAGGCCCGCGCTGCGCTCTGCTTCTCTGGGGGTGAGAAGCAGGCTGTTTGGCTTTTCTTCATAAGGTCATGGAAACCCCCGAGGGAATCTAAGCACAGAAGAAACTTGGTCAGTCTTATTTTAGAAAATCCCGTCACAGCGGAGTTAGAGCCTGTGGGGTCCTCCCTTGTCCCCTTCTCGGCCCCGCTGCTCCCCTAGCAGTGTACTTCATCAGTCTGCCTGTTCTGCTCCCCGCCCTGTCTCTGGTGAATCCTCTTGTCCTCCACACCTCTTATATGCATAAGTTTTTTCTTTTTTTAAAAGTTATGTGCTGCAGTAACCACTGTCTGTTCCAGGAGGCCAGCAAGTTGAATTTCAGATTACTGCATTGGCCCTAGAGGCTGAGTGACTTTCCTGAGGAAACTCAGTGAGCTGGAAGTCAAGATGTTGCTCTGGCCGCTCGTGTCCAGCTGATGGCTGGACTGGGGGAAGGCTCAGAACTGAGGACTGAACACCCCGAGCCAGATGCGGCGCCTCCAGCCCCCCAAATCCCACATTATCTGGCCTCCCTTCTGGAGAGGAGGCCACTAGATGTGTCAGCAGCTGAGGCCCACACGCAGCACGGGCCCGCTGGGGGCTTTCTCCAGGTTATGGGGCTCGCCTCAGCCTGAGCCTGCTGCTGTGGTTGCCTTTTCCCCGGCAGGCCAGTCACCTTGAGATTTTCCACACTTTTGCTTATGCAATTTCCATCACTAAATGTCTTGGTTTTCTTGCACTGGCTTGCTCTTGATGCCAGGAACACAGTG